GGTCCGTCTTAGAGCCGGCTGGCACTGGCTTTATCAGACATGGGGGAAGCTTCTCGCAGAAGCCACCCCTATAGCCCCCCCACTACCAAAACCTTCCACACAAACCCATAACAGTCTACCAACACCAAAATCACCACCTGGTACTTTCACATCGGTCTCCTTGGGAACCCCCTTGGCCAAGAGGGCTGCAGCGCTGGGTTGTGGTGCCACCAAGGTGAGTCAGAACGTTCGGGTCTGTTTAAAAGCATTGGGTAACAAGAGATCAGTGGCTCCACAGTTACAAATGACTTGGGGCCAACGCTAAGCTTTCACCAGCAAATCAAGCCGTAAGATAAGCCAGGAAGCACGGAGGGGCCTCTGTTCCCTGTGTGGGGAACGAGAGATCTCTACGTGCTCCCCCACGGATTCTCACCTGACAATTTAATTTCACTCTTCGGCCCCACAATCACTATTCCCATCTTCCTTAATTAAAAAGTGAAATTGTGAGAGAAGGACTTGTTTCTTATTGTTTCTGGAAGATCCCAGAGCTGGGGCTTTGCTCCCAGCCAGGGCTTTCAGCTCCCCCACGCGCTGTGCATCAGTCGTTCCTAAGGAAGGATTTACGGCAGGAGGAGCCAAGGGGAGAGGCAGGATGTCAAAATCAACGGCGCTCTGCCTCCTCAGACTTCCTCCTCTGACCTTCAGCTTGCCCCTGCCTGCCTTTATTTCATCTCCAACCTTCTGTGTGCTTGAGCACACCAATAACCAGCCGACGTGTTGGCGGTGACAAGGCTCCGGCAGTTGGCCGTGACAGCCACTTGCACGGGTGCAGAGGCACCTTCCCCAAAACAGCCACGGCTTCTGGATTCCTTTCTCCTTCGCCAGATGATCTGCCAGGTCTCCCTTTCGTCTGTGCTCTCTTTTCACACGAGTGCTGGTTTTTTCTGGGTTGCAGATGCCAGGGAGCGGGCAGGGACAGCCCTGATCCCAGCCGAGAGCTCGAGGTGCAGCTGTAACACACAGAGCCATGCAATCAGCTGAGACATCCTCGATTTGGGGCTAACTCCGTCCCCTACAAGGAGCTTTTATCCCGTGTCCCGCTGCTCATAAACCAAGAGAATTATGTTCTTCATTAACTTAAAGCCTGAGCCCTCTAGGTTTAATAAGAGCCTTGTAGAAATACCAAGTATTTTCCAACTCCTTTATTCCCTGTTGTGATAATAAATCTTGTTCCTTTTCCGTCGGAGAACAAATAAACAGGGAAAGTCTCCGGAGAGCCGAAGCCCGGAGTCTGTCAGCAAAGGTAAGAGAAATATCGCCGGCTTCTTCACGGTGTAAATAACCTGGGCCAGAGAGCCAGAAGCGATGCCCCCGGGAGCAGCGTGCCCTCAGCATTTCGGGCGCTGTGGTCCCATTACACTTCATCTGGCCGCTACCTTCTTGGTGGGGCGGGACTCCAGGGTGGAGATGTTTGCACTGTGTTTTATTTGTTCCTAGCAAGCACGAGCCTGCTGGCTAGAGACTCTGTTCACTCCTGGGAGCAGTTATCACCTAAACACACGTCCCCTGAGCTCCAAGGCTGTCAGGTAGGAAGGAGGACAGTGTCAGCCCCATCCTGGACCAGGATCCTGGTGATGGGGAGGTTGGCCCCCGCCCGCCCACCGTGGCTGCTCACCCTTTCTGCCCACCCTCTGGGTATCCTCACTCCAGCACTGTGCAGCAAAGAGCTGCTGAGTCAATCAAAGCTGAAATAAAAATTAAGCAAATTAAATTTGCAGATGAAGTGCAGCACTGCGATGGGGCGATTTGCTTCCCCTCCCCTTAGCCCACGCAATCTATTTGCAGGGTTGGGTGCCACCAGGCCAGCGCTGAGTGGGACAGAGCTGGGCATCTCCCACAGGTCGTGCTGAGGAGTCGGTGACGTCGGGTTAAATACGGCCCCAGACATCACCAGGGCTCCCTTCGGGGCGTTCCTTGGTGCATGTGCTGGGCCTGGATTTCCTTTCCCAGGATAAAGTTTTGGGGTCACTGCAAGCAGTAACTACGGTACAAGCAGGTGCGTCATGACCCTGCTTGTCCCAGTCGCTCCCAGGGAGCTGCTGGGTGTTCGAAATCTCTAACACCGAGGCTGCTCACTTCATGCCACAGCACTGCTTTGCCCAGATCTGAAGGTTGGCGTGTCCCCTCCTTCTTCTTCCTCCCACGGGCAGGGGCAGGACGCAGTGGTGGTACCAGATTAAAACCACTGAGCCCGTGACTTGGCTGTGGGCTGCAAAATTGCTGCAATTTTAAGGTCTACTTTTAAAGGCCTGGCCAAAGGGACACCTCTGCTATTGGGAAAAAGGATTCAGGGCTCATGTCATCTACAAGAGGCCGAGTCCTGCGGCATCACCTCTGCACAGCTGCCAGCAGCAGCGGGCAGAGATGTCCAGCCCGAGGAAAGGAGGGAACAAGAAAACTACAGGTATCCCAAACCCCTTCAGGTGTCTTCACGGGACCTTGAGTTTAGCGAGATGTGGTTAAGCTGTGTTCCTCTCCATCCCCACCTAGTAGCAACTACAGCAAAATCCACTCGTGAAGATGCAGCTGGCCAGAGCCAGGGTTTTCCCTCAAATTCCTCTTGGGCAGGTGTGGGAAGTGACCCGGAGAGTTTTCCAAGTAGGGGATTATCCCCGGAAAAGGTGGGGAATTGAACACTCTGGGCAAGACGTTTTGTAGTTCTTTTAGTATGTGGAGCCTCCAAAGCTGGGAGACCTCCCCAAAGATGCCGCTCGGTGGACCTGGCAGCGCTTGAGCTCCTCCATGGGCAGGATCCCACGGGCAGAGGCTGGCACAGGAGAGGTGGAAGCTGGAGGCGAGTGGGACACTGACTTCACCGCAGAGAAGGAGAGTGGAAGCAGGGTTCAACGACGCATCATTAGGGAAAAGGGAAATCTCATTACGATTTTTTAAGTGGCCCAGGTAGAATACCGAAGAGCCCAGAGCTGCAATGTCTGGGCTTAAAATACAGTCATGAAGAAAATAAATAAACATTAATTTTCCATTTGAGAAATAGGTGTAATTAATTAGAAAGCATTTCTAAGTTATCTAACACCTGTGTTGTAGCTGCAGGAAATGAAGCCGGTCAAGAGTTCTCCTAGTGAAATTAGGCAAGATTTTTCTGCCAGAATGTTCTTGCTGGGGTCGGCGTACAGAGCCAGGCTTGCTCTGAGCGTGACATTTGTATTCTGGATAAGAGAGAGCAGCTCTTCCCTGCTGGCACTGATAGGAGGGGAAAGGAAATCTTCAGAAATAACAAAGCATCTGGCCAAGGTGGCGTCAGATGTTTTGTTGTCACGAGGCAGCACCATTTCCCTTGGATGTCAGGTCATTACCCTGAGAAAAAGGATTCAGTGTAACATTTACTGACGTGCAACGAAACCAACCGCAATAATAGAAGCAAAAGGGCCTTTTTCCGTATCAAGACGCGACATTTCGGTGCTGGGGAAATGACAGCGCTGTTGGTGAAAAACATCAACAAGTGATGCAGGAAGGCTGACAGGAGTGTCATTTGCACTTTTTCCCAAAAAAAGATTGATTTTTTTTTTTTAAAATACATTTCAGAGTGAGATGCATTCCCAATGAAAAAAAAACCCCAAACACCTCTCTGGAAATGGTGCTTGTGGCTGCAGGGCAGCACCAGCGGCCGAGGGGGAGGACGGCTGCGTACCGGGGCCGCTGCGGGAGGCGAGGACATGGCTGGGATGGCAGCAGCGGAGGAGCAAGGGGAGGCGTCGGGAGCACTCAGGGGAGCACCCGTCTGTTTCCCAAGGACAGGGGCCGATCTCCAGGCTCTAGCTGAGCTTAGGACTGAGCTTGCTGATGCTGTTTGGAAAAGAGAAGCTCTGGCAGCCGGCTTGCTGCTGCATTCTGCGGCACTAAGGTGGGGAGGAGGCATGACTTCAAGGGAGCAGGTGCGGAGGGATGCCAGTATCCTAGGTTCTCCTTTTCCATGTTAAGGTCAGGGTTTGGAGGTCTGTCGATTCAGGACCCCACTGTATAATTTAAACTCACAGGGCTTGTAGGTTTGGGGAACGGATCAGGAAGACAGCCTATGGAATTAATAAGTGGGCCGGTAGGGATGATGGACACTGTCTGATTCTCTGGGTAGGAAATCAAACGCAGCTGAATCCAGCATGCCAAAGGCTGGGAGAGTTTAGAAAAGGACTGGTGCCATTTACAGCCCATGTCTGGCTCACATTTTCTTTTCCTGTACCCATTTGGTCTCAGCTGTAGCCAGACAATCAGTTACATATCATCTGTACATCACCCATGAGAGCAGCCCGTGCTATGGGGACCTCAGAGTTAGGGAAAGGGCAGGTGACTGCAGCCCAGGACACACGCCTTACTGCACGTATTCCTGCTCTCTGCAAAGTGTAGGCAAAATTAGGGTATCTAAACCCCAGAAGGCTGGGCTCTTGGCAGATGCTGCAGGACGCTGCGGGTTATGGAAACACAGGGGCCTGTGGCGCTCATGTTGTGCTTTCTCTTGGTGCAGAGATGTACCCGAGTACCACCACGCAGCGGGTGGCCCAAGTGAAGTACTCAGACACGGGCCCAGAAACTTCAATCCAAATGCAGCAGCCCACTCCAGGGCGGCCTCCATCTTCAGCCCCCGGCCAAGTTCCACCGCTTTGCCTTAAGGTTAGGACAGGCTCGAAGGCTGCGCTGAGCAGCAGAGATGCACAAGCCCTGTGCGGAACGCAAGCAGAGGGGAATGTGATAACTGTGAATGTAACAAAAGTAACATGTAGGGGATGTTATCACTTGAGGTGGTCAGAACCATTACTCAACCAACACAAGTCTTGGTTCTTTGTGACTAATTGGGACGGTTGCAAGATGAGGGACTCCTGAATAATCCCTTTCGGCGGCTGGGCCTTGGGAGGACAGGGATGCAAACTACAGAGATAAGGAGGCTGCAGGATAATCTGCAGACCCCGCCGACCACCGAGAGACGCCAAACAAACATGCGCGACGGACATTACC